AACAAATAAATATTTATATTTATATATATATATAAATTAATTTTTTAATATTTGGGGGATTAATATATTAAACAATTATAATATATTTGTTTGTCTGGGACTTTATTTTATCAATTTAAATATAAAAAAATAACTAAATTATTAATAAATATATAACAACATCATTATATTACAAACCAACCATCTTTTAACCCCAAAAACAAGTACCGTATGTTATCTTTTAAAAATGAAGATAATACCTTCGAAAGAACTAAATATACCTTTTTTTTAATTTATAAAGAATATTAAATTTTTAAATATAAATATTTTTTTATTTTTTTCATTTCATTTCTAAATTAAAATCAATTAATTAAATATATAAATAAATATAAACTAAAACCATGTTAAATAGTAAGTATAATTAATTTGTAAATTTTATAAATTAATATTTTATTAATTAATTTAATTTAAATTTAGAAATTTTAATAAATTTAAACCTTGGTGCAAGTAAAAGAGAAAATAAAACAAACTATAATGGAAATGACAACCTCAAAAATAATAAATATTTAGAAAACTATAAACAAGGTAGTGCTCTTTCATTCTCCTTCTTTACAAGACCCCAATATCTTGGTTATTAACCAGTATTTTAAAAAAATATATATATATATAAAATTGGTCGACGATGCTGCTTGTAAATAAATAAATGTTTTATAATAAAATCATCTTTTTTAAATTAAAAAAAACAATCTTTTTTATTATTTTATTTATTTAAAATATTTTATGTATTTATTTACAATGATTGTTGTATATATGTTTATTTAAATGTTTTGTTTTGTTTTATTTTTGTTTTTTATTTTGATTAGATATAAAAATATTTTATAATAAACCAGCTTCTTTGAGTAATTGAACTAATTTGCCACTTTTGTGAAGCTTGGTAGTATCTAAAAATTTTGAAGAAAAATGAATTGTTAGTATTCAAATTATTTACAATTTTTAAAAAATAATAATAATAATAATAATAATAATATGAATTACATACCATCACAACCACCAATAAGCTTTTCATTGATAAATACTTGTGGAACAGTTCTCATACCTGAATGTTTTGCTAAATTGGCTTGCATTTCGGCACCATCTGATTCTCTGTCTAATTCGACAACAAATGGTTTAACACCAATTTGTTCAAATAAACTTTTAACACTAACACAATATGGGCAGAATGTCTTTGAAAAGATAATTAATTTGTGTGATTTGATTAAATTAACAACTTTATCCATTTTTTATTTGTATTGTTCTTTATGTACTTTTAATTAATAATGATTATCAAAAATGAAAAAAAAAAAAAAATTTTAAAAATAAAAAGAAAACGAAATTTTTTTTAAATTAAAATGAAAAAAAAAAATAAAAAAAAAACAAATAATTAAATTTATTTTAAAAAAAATTAAATTAAAATTAAATTAAAATTAAATTATAATAAAAGAAAAAAATATACAAATAATAATATTTTTGAATATTAATAAATCTATTATTTAAGTTATTTAATTATTTTAAGTTGAGTTGTTTTTTTTATTTTATAAGTTTTCAAAAAAAAAAAAAAAAAAATTTTAAATTTCATATTCCAAAGAATCTTTTTTTTGATTCTTTTTGTTTGAAAATTTGATTCCATAATTTCTTGTTTCATTTGATTATTAATTAATTACATATGTAATTAATTAAAATTAAATAAAAAATAAATAAAAAAATAAATAAAAAAAAAGAAGGGGTTTATTTGATGAGAGAATTATTATAAAACATATTAAAAATTTTATTATAAAATTAAAAGGTAATATGCCTGATTTAAATAAAGGTCGGTCAAAGTAATAATAATGACTAAAAAAAAATTATGTATTGGGAGGGTATGACCTTCTCTGGATAGTGTAATTATTTATTATACTTAAAATATAATAAATATAATAAATATAATAAAATGTTTTTATATAAATATAAATATAATTAAATAAAAAATCATATTTTTTATAATATGAACTTTTTAATATTTAAAAACTGATACCTGTAGAGCCAGTAACCAAATAAAGAACTAAGAATGAAAAGTGAGTACTAACCCAAATACCAAAGTTGAGCATGAATGTCTATAAAAAAATAGTGAAAAATTATTAGTTGGTTGTTGTTGTTTTTAAAATGAAATGAAAAATGAAATGATATTTACCATAATAATACCGGCATATTCTTTTTCGTGATCCTCAGCTTTAGTTGGACCAAAGATCATAGCTAAAGTACCACAATAACCATTTGAAAGAGCGAAAATAAACATAAAGATGAATTGCCAAGCAAAGTTATCGAAAACTACTGGTTTAACGCAAAGTGAAAATAATGGGAAGAATGCTAAACGAAGAACGGTTGGAATCCAAAGAGTATTTGGTTTGAAGATGATGAGCCATTTTGGTAATGTTCTACCAATGAAATCACCAATCATAAAAGTTAATACAAAATAAATTTGGAACCAAGTTTGGCCAAGTTTCTTTGACTCGCTAGTTTGAATAAGACCTGTAATACCTGGGAAAACTGAAAGAGTGGTAAAGAAAACCAAGAATACAACTAAAGCCTCTCTCCATACCTTTCTTAAAATCTTGAAAATTGAAACCTCTGGTTTTTTGACTTCACCTACATCATTAATTGAACCTTCTTTGGTCTTTGATGCTTCATAAGCTGTTAAAAAGTATTTGGTGAATGGTAATTGAAGCAAAAGTACAAAACAAAGTAAACATAAAATCATAACACCTGCAGCTAAGAAAAAGAAAATATAACTGCTCTTTTTGAAGCCCTCTGGAGTGTTTGATACTGAAGCTGTAGTGATGATACTGAAAACTGAAGCAATAATACCTGCTACACCATTACCACTCATAACTGCACCTGTATAATCACCTGGGAATAAGGCTACCAAACCCATAACGGTACCAAACAATAATGATACTGAACAACCAGCTAAAAGGGTACAAAGTAAACTGATAATCATACTTGTGGTTTCGTTTTTATGTAAAACTGTATCGTTGAATGGCATCCAAAACAAAATGGCTGCTAAAATTAAAAAGAAAACAAACATACGTGACTTGAATGAAAATTTTGGCATAATCTTTGATGATACAAATAATAAAATCCATTGGAAATAGTTGTATGCCAATGACATTAAAAATGTATATGATTTATTTGGATAAATTGAATTATAATATGCTGATGATGTAATAAAACAATTAAATGGTAATAATAAACCAATACCTAAAACTAAAAAACAAAACCATGCTAAACCAAACTAATTAAAGAAAGAAAAAAAAAAAAGTAATAAAATAATAAAAGGGTATTAATATATAGTTTCTTTGATATATAGCTATTTCTTTATGAAAATCAATTGATAATTACTCTATCTGGTGGTGGTTTCATAACTGTAATGTCAGATTCGACCAACGGTGAATATTCATGTTTATTAAGTCTACCCATTTTTTACTTTTTATATATATATATATATGTGTGTATGGTATACTTTGATTCTATAATTATTTTTATTTTTAATAATAAATTTACTTTGTTATATTATTGTTATTTTATATATTATGAATTTATTATTGTTAAAAATAATTTGAAATTCTTAAATTAAAAAAATATTATGTAAATATATATATATTTATATTTATATTTATCTCTATCTTTATTTTTTTTGTATTATTATTATTAATAATTATTATTTAAAAAATAATGAATTATATATATACAAAAAAAAAAAGCTGTGTGGTTAAAACCAGTGGTAGTGTTTTGATTTTTTAGAAACAATATTAAAAAAAAAAAAAATTTATATAGCAAAAAAATAAAAAATAAAAATAAAAAAAAAAAAAGAAAAAAAAAAAATAATTAAAAAATAAAATTTAAATATCTCTGTAGAATTTTCGTTTTTTTTTTTTTTTTTAAGGCATAAAAAAAGGCTTAATGTAATTTTACCCGGAGACGTATTTTTTTCAAAAATATTAATAACCTAATAATAAATAAAAATAAAAAAGAAAAAAATAATAATATTGAAAAAAAAGAACCAAATGGAAAGAAATAGAACTTTTTTCTACAAGATATTTTATAGATATTAAAAATGAAATTTACGTAAATACATGAAAGATAGTGAGTCAAAAAAATATCGAACGATTTTTTTTTTTGGTTTTTTAAAATTTTTTTTTTGAACTTATTACAATTTTACACAAATATTAATTGAGTTATAAATCGAAATATTAAATTGATGTTAAATTTATTACAGAGATTTATTAGTTAAATTTTTTATGTACATGTTATTATTATTATTATATATTATTTATTATTATTTAATTATTTATTATTATGATGGTTAAAATTTACAAAAAAAAAAACAAAGAAGTTGAATGGTTTTTAAGTTGCAGTGGTAATGCTTTGGGTTTGGTGGATATGGTGTTGATGGTGATGTTTTTTAAATTCTAAATAATCTTTATATGACAATTCTTCTTTTGTTGATTGATAACGAGTAAGTTTAATAGATGAATAGAATGATTGATCTACTTTGCCATTATATCCAGCTTTTTTAATTAATGCTCTAAGTGCTTCTTCTTTTGACCATTGCTGTTCTGGAATAACTTCTGGTAAAAATGTACCTGTAGTAGTTGACAGTGTGGTTGGATTGGTAAATTCAATCCAAATACCATGGGTGCCTACTTCCCAATCCCATACGTCTTTAGCCTCTTCAAAATCTAATAATAGTGAAACTGCACAATGAAGCTTTGGTAATTCTTTTTGGGTGATTGGTGAGAAACGATGATCTTTAAGTGCGCTAGTTAATGAAAATTTTGATAGTCCTTCAACTAATGGTTTTTCTGAAAAAGTTCCAATACAACCTCTTAAAATTGGTTCGTCATAGTTTTTATTGTCAATCTTCCAAGTTACAAATAATGGACTTTAATAATAAAATATAATATAAAAAATAATATAATTATGTTTTATATTTGTATATATTAAAAAAAAATAATTAATATATACTATATTTTTTTATAAAGTTTATTTATTTATGATTATTTCTCTTTTATCTATTTCTTATTATTTATTATTTATATATTATTAACATACAATGGTTCATTTGTAAAGCTTGGTTTATACATTGGTTTTGATTCAAAGTGATGAATTAATGTATCCCAACAATATGCTACCATTTCTTTAGAGGCTTTAAATTTTGATTTACCACTCATTTTCTTTTTGATTGTTTTTTGTATTATTATCGTATATATTTATAGTTAGTAGTGATAAATTGTGGTTATATGTATTATGGTGATGCGTTGATAGTGTGTGAATAAAAGCAATTATTAAAAAAAAAAAAAAAAATTTTAAAAAATTAAATTAAAAATATAAAATAAATAAATTTAAAAAAAAATAGTTATTTTTTTTTAGGTAATAATTTTACACTTTTTTTTTTTCTTTAGACAATAGACAAGGATATTTTCATTTTTAATATAATAATACAAACAATAATATATTAATATGAAAAAAAATTTGGGTGAATTTTTTACTCTTTTGAAGTTTTTTTGCAAAGATTTATTAAACGTGATTAGGTTTTGAATCCCCAAAGATTTAAAAAAAATAAAAAAACTATAAATAAAAAATAAGTTTTAAGAATATTTAAAAGATATTGAGTTTAAATATGGTTTGTATATTTTAAGAGTGTTTTTTTTTTTTTTTTTTTAATGATTGAAACTATTTACAACAACTTTGCCTTTTGCTTGGTTTGTTTCGAGATACTTGTGGGCATCTTGAATTTCATTATATGAGAATACTCTATCGATAACTGGTTTTAATTCGCCAGTTTCAAAAAGATGAAGATAGTCTTTGGTAAATCCAGATACTAAATCAGCTTTGTAATCGTTGCTTCTATTTCTTAATGTTGAGCCTATAATGGTAAGTCTTTTACTTAAGATTGGTGTAATATCAGCAGTTTCTTTGATGTGTGAGCCTGATAAAATACCCTATTAATTTTTTAAAAAAAGATTAATATATTAACAAATAATGATTAAAATTTTGTTTAATTGTTAAACTTACTTGAATAATCATAACACCATCTAATGACATTGATTTTAAATTTTGATTCCAATATTTTGCACCAACATAATCGAATATTCTATTTACACCTTTTTTATTTGTAACTTGTTGAACAACCTCTAAAAAGTTTTCTTGAGTTTTATAATTGATTGGATGAGTACAACCAAGTTTTTTAATGAAATCTGCTTTTTCGTCACTACCAACAGTACCAAAGATTAAAGGAGCACCGGCAGCTCTACATAATTGGACCAAAGCAGTACCGACACCACCTGCAGCAGCATGAATCATGGCAGATTGGCCACGTTGATAGTTTGATAATGGATGTAATGCTTGATAGGCTGTTAACCATGCTTCAGGAATTGCAGATGCCTGTTCGAATGTTAAATGCTCTGGTTTTGGAAATGCTTGATTTGCTGCAATGGTACAATATTCACCATAGGCACCTCCTCCTACAATACCAAATACTGGATCACCTTTCTTATAATGGCCATTTTTATCAGCTTCAACTACAATACCTGACATTTCTAAACCCAAAATTTCAGAGTCTCCTGGTGGTGGAGGATAACGTCCCAATCTTTGAAGAATATCGGCCCTATTTAATGCAAATGATTTAACTTGTACTAAAATTTCATTGTTTTTTGGTATTGGTTTTGCGACCTGTCCAACTATTAAATTTTCTATTCCACCAAATTGTTTTAATAAAATTGATCTCATCATTTTTTTTTATTATTATATTGTATTTATACAATTATTAAAATATAAATTAAAAAATAATATACTAAAAAGAAAAAAATGTAATGAGTAAAAATAAAATAATAAAAAATAAAAAATAAAAATAAATTAAAAAAAAAAATAAAAAAATAATAAAAAATTTTAAAAAATATAATTATTAAAATTGGGGACAGTGTGTGAACTTGTGTCGAAATATATTCCCCAAGTAGGTATAAATTCATAATTTTCATTAAAATTTTCTATTTACCATTTTTCTTTTTTTTGTAAAATTTTTTTTTTTTGTTTTTATTTATGTTATTTTAATAATGAATTTAATTAGGATATGAACATGTTTCCTTGATTTAAAGATGAATGGCTACATTCAAAAAATTTTAACAATAAAACTTTTTTTTTTTTTTTTTTTTAATTTTTTATAAATAATTTTTTTTTTTTTTTTAATTTTTTAATTTTAAATTTTTTTTCATTTATCATAATAACCACAAATATTAATTTATTATGTAATGACTCAGCCACAACCTAAAAAACCATTATTTGCCGCATACTCCTCAAATAAAAACCCAATATTAATCGATGAAAAAAATAAAAATGATAAAATAAATATTACACCACCATCTTCGCATCATCCTAGTCCAACATCATCTCGCCCACCCTCACCTCCACCAATACCAATATCAAAAAACAAAGCATCAGCATATTTCAATATTACTTTTGATGATGAATTACCTCCATCCCCACCTCCCTCCGCATCCACCTCAACAACTATAATACCGTCCTCATCATCATCAAAAAAAAGAATAAACCAAACAACATATAGTAGTAGCAGCAGCAGTAGTGATAGCGATAATAGTAATGATAATAAGAAAAGAAATAAAAATAAAAAAAAGCCAAAGAAATCAACTTTATCATTTTTAAACGATGATGATTTTTCAAATAGTGATACATCCAGTAGTGACAATGAGGGCTTTGATTATAAAAGAAAGAAATATAAACGTGAGGAGAAGGAAGAAATTGAAAGGGAAAGAAAAGATAGAAAAAAGAAAAGAATAGAAAAAGATAAAAAATATTATAGCGACAAAGATAGAAATGCAATTTCCAACGATTTATTTCAATCAACTGAAAGTAATGATCAATACTATTTTGAAAATACAGGCAACAAAAGTAAAATTAATATGATGAACATTCCTAAAAATTTAAACTACAACTATGATAATACGATGATTTTGGGCCTAAAAGATTACAAACTAGCCTTTAATAAAAAGGATGGTTTTCAAATTGAAAATTCAAATGCCTTCTCATCTTCAAAAAATAATCAACAGAAAACTAGATATTTTAAAAATCAACCTCCATCAACCATTATAGACAATAAATTAGTAGAAAAAGTGTTTCCAATACCAAACTTACTTGATCCATCTAAAGATAAATCCGCTACTGAAATCAAATTAGTTGTAAATCAAGATACCAATGATGATAATGAAGAAAATGAAACATATGAAACAAAATTACAAAGAAGACTATTAAAAGAAAACTCTGAACTAAATTATAAAGTTGAACAAAATCCAACAGATATTGACCGATGGTTAGATTTAGTTAAATTTCAAGAAAACTTTCAACAATTTAGTGCAAAGAAGAGTAGATCCAAATTTTCAATGTACGATAGACAATTAACAATTTACAAGAATGCATTGATGGCCAACCCAGACTCTGAGAGACTAACCATTGAATATTTGAAATTGGCAAGTGAAATATGGGATCAAGAAAGAGTATTAAATTTATGGAACGCACTGATTCAAAAGAGCACTCAAGATTTTTTAGACTACCAACAGCAAGTGCACTCTCAACATCAAGCACACCCAACGATAATAAGTGAAGATCTCTGGAGGGAGTATATAAACTTTTGCCTATCAAATTTTAATAACTTCACTGTAAACAAAATGAAAGAAACCATAACTCAAGTCATAAGAAAACTTTTGATTAAAAGACGTTCATTTAAAGTTAAAGAAAAGAATTTTATGGAAAGGGTTCAAGTTGTTGAAGAGTCAATATTGCAATTTTTATCACAACTTACTAGATTCCTTCATCAGGCTGGCTATAGCGAAAGAGTGGTCGGTATTTATCAAGCACTAATTGAACTTAATTGTTTCGAACCAATTGCACTATCAAATGAACCTCAATCAGTTTTGCTAAAAGAATTTAAAGAATTTTGGGTCTCGAACAACTATGCAAAAATTGGTGAATCAAATTCCATTGGTTGGTCAAATGCATATAATCAAATACTGAATGACAAAATCAACAGTACAGGAAAAAATGATGGTGGACTTGAAGATTTGGACAACCTATCCATTGAAGAAATTGAAAAACTACTAAAAGAGCAAGAAGATTTAGAAAAGCAAAGTGAACTTAACCAAAACAATAATGAAAATTTATTTACAATTAACGAAAGCAACTTCAATGAACAAAATGATGACGATATTAACCAAGATGATCAAGATATTAATAAAACCAAAGAGTCATATAAAAACAAAAACACTCCCGAATCAATCCATGAAAATAAATTTATAAATTGGGGCAAAAACGAAATTAAAAAAGATACATCAAAATGGTTACCACTAAATATAGATAAAGCAACATTAAACGATGAAATGGGTGAAGAAAATGATCAAGATACTGACAGAGTGGTCCTGTTTAATGACGTTTTTGATCTACTATTCAAATTTGTTAGAGATGAAATCAAAATCGAATTAATATTTCAATTTTTAGAATTTTTAGGTGTACCAATTGTATTAGATGATAAAATACCACCAAGGTTCCCCTTCAACCATCCTCTTAGAAGAGAATCTATAAATTCAATTAATGAGAACAACATCTCTTTATTGTTCAAAGATTTACAGGATCCTAAACAAATCAACACTGCAACTTGGTATCGAACATTCGAAAATCTAAGAAAACATCAACCGCTATCAAAAGATCGAATACAATTTATAGACTCAGTTTTTAAACTCATTTTGGACAGTAGCAATATTAAAGTAAAAGAAAAACTATACATTTCATATATACACTTCAAAGCGACTTATAGCATGGATGAAGCAAAAATTTATACAAAACAACTATGTGAAAAGTTTAAACAACTAATTTATTTTGATATCTATGCCTCACTAGAAATTAAATCAAACAAAATCAATGAATCAAAATCAATCTACCAAACCACATTACAATATACAAACCAGCTAATTCAACCAAACAAATCATCACCACAACAGCAGCAGCAACAACACCAAATAAATATAAATCAACAACTACAATTTCAAATCGATTTCATTTATAGGGAATACTTATTTTTAGAATTGGATTTTATTTATCAGTCTGTTCAAAAAGATCCTCAAATTTTAAAAAGATTTATTAATAATTCTAAACAAAATAATGGCTCCATTTTAGATATGTTCACACTACCAATTCACATACTGCAATGTTATATCGAATCAAACTATAAAAAATATACACCAACAAACAATAATAATATAACAATAAAAACCCGTTTAGACTATTTGAAATTTAAATTTAACGAGAAATATCAGCAATACATCACAAACCATCAACAACATCAACATACCCCTCCGTCAATTGATTTCGTGCTATGCTTTTTAGTATTGGAGTTAATCTATAGTGGCTTTGATAAATCTTTATTTTTATTTAATCAATTTATATCAATTTATTTTAAAAAATTTACAATTAATCATGAAATTTTAACTATAAGGTAAGTTGTTTTATAATATATCTATTTGTTTAATTTACAATGAACTAATTTTTATAAATATTTTTTAGGTTTATTGAAATAGTTTGTAAAATTGGTAAACTAGTAAATATCGAACCATTTAAAATTAAAGATTTAATTATCAAATCATTGGATGACTACTATGATCACCCGAAATTAATAACTTTATTTTTAAATTGGGAAGGTACAAACCAATTAATAAATAGAGTTAGAGTCTATTTCGATTTACAATCAAACAAAAACTACTCTGCTATTTTTTGGTTATTTTCAATTAGATTCGAAATTAATAAGCAAGGTGCTGCATTAAGAATTAAATCACTATTTGAAAAATCAATTCAATTATCAAGGTATGCATTACTTATATTAATATAAAAGTTATCTTATTATTTATTAATTTATTTTTTATTTTTTATATTAGATGTAAACATAACTTTATTTTATGGAAACTATATATAGAATTTGAATTAAACAGAGGCAAAGTTAATACTGCAAAATCAATTTACTATCGTGCTATAAAAGAACTACCTTGGTCGAAAACCATTTGGTTATTGCCCTTTACAAATGACAAACTATCTTCAAGTTTCAGTGACAGCGAATTCGTCGATTGTATAAAACTTTTAAAGGAAAAAGGTATAAGATTAAGAGAAAAACCAGTCCAATAGAAAAAAAAAAAAAAAAAAATTTTTTTTTTAGATATAAAATTTTTTATTCTATTTTTTTTTTTTTTAATTTATACTTTATATTTATATTTATTGTTATTTTTTTAAAATCAAAATTATAATTTTAAAAATAAAAAAATAAATATAAAATATAGAAATCTTCTATAAAAATATAAATTAAAAAAATAAAAAAAATAAATAAAACTATTTTTTATTTTTACTAATAAATTATTTTTATTGTTTTTTATAATTATTTATTTTATTTATTTATTTATTTATTTATTTATTTATTTATTTATTTATTTATTTATTTATTTATTTATTTATTTATTTATTTTTTTTTTTTTTTATTTTTTTTTTTTTATTTTTATTTTTTTTATTTATTTATTTTATTTTTAAAAAATATTGTTATAATTTTTTTTTTTTAAACAAATAATTATAAAATATTTTGATTATTTTTAAATTATGCGCTTAATTTTAAAATTAACAACTACATTTTTTAAAAATTTGAAAATTTAAAAAATTCGCGCGAGTAAAACAAAAAAAAATTTGAAAAAGTAATGTAAAAAAATTTTTAGTGTGGGGTATACATGGAGGAGAAATAAAAAAAAAAAAAAAAATTTTAATTTTTCAAAAATTTTTTTTCTATTTAAATTTTTTTTTTTTTTTTTATTTCATTTATATTTTCATATTCCAAATTTTTTTTATATAATTTTTTTTAAAATTTTTATAACCAATACAAACAAATAATCAAAATGGTCAAACCAGCCGCAGGTAAAAAACCAACTGAAAACAAAGAAAAAGCTGTAACTCCAAAAGTTACCAAGACCGCCGCTGATGGTGAAAAGAAAAAAACCAAAAGAAAGAAGTCTGATTACACCTCGTTTCTCAACTTATATCCACAAGTTATTAAA